AAATAGGATCACAAGTCCGCATCTTGTACAGCAATTAACCACTAAGAAGAATATATGCAGTGTATTATTTGTTGAAAAATAAAAAAAAAGAAAATAAAAATAAAAATCTTTCAAAGACACAATTTCAAGTTATGACATTCAATTGATTTAACTTATTTTTACTACCTTTTAAAGACATCTACTGTGTACAGATATTTTTATCTTCATCTCTAATAACAGTTATTGCTTTAGAAATACTCCCCACAAGTATAATTATCTCAGCAAATGGTCCAGTCTTTCTAAAAGTCTTTAATACAAAATGCCAAAGGGTCCTGCAGAAATAGCGTGTCTATTTCGTCTATCATTCATACCCTCACTTCACACTGCTGACTTTTTCAAGATTCTGGGTCTTCGCTTTGAAAGCCTGGTCAAGATGTTTAGACGAACTTTCAATCACTTCTTGTTTCTTTGCATTTTTTGTTTGGTTTTGTGCTTTGAGGTAGGGCCTCACTATGTAGTTCAGATTGGCCTGAACTCACTACATAGCCCAGACTTGCCTCAAATTTGCAGTGATCCTCCTGCCTCAGCCCCCCGCCCTCCATGCTGAGATGACAGACATGCACCAGCACTGCCTGCATGACCACCTAACTTCTTCATCAGTATTTCACTTCCATGGTATTACTGGGTTTCATCTTTCTACCCATTCAGAGAAATTTTCCTTTTAAAAGATCACTTTAATATAAATAATCCATAATAAGCTTTTTGATCTTTTAAGTTCTAAGTTAATAAAACTGACATAAGCTTACTAAAACATTAAACATCATGTAAGTTAATATAGTTTCTTTCTAAATTTTTAGTGCATACTCAAATTAATCCCCAAGATGCTAGCAATCCTTTAAACCCTATTTCATCACAGTATTTATAATATACAATAATTATATATAATATACATTTAATGTATATATTTATGGGACCTGTCATAATACTCTTTCCTTAGGAAAAAGATTTTATGATAACATAATACACATACATGTCAGTAATGTAAATAATGCAATGATAGAAGCCATTGTACTTATTATTTAATAACTAATGATTTCATCAGAATACTCTCCAGACACAATTAAGAAAATCTTTTAGAGACCATAAATTGCGTTAACGGGCCAGTGAGATGGCTCAGTGGTCTAAAGCACCTACTTAGAACAAGCTTAGCAAAGCACAGAGACCACGGTTCAATCCCCCAGCACCACATGCCAGCCCGCCCCGCCCCCTGGTGGGCTGAGCAGGCCACACACACACACACACACACACACACACACAAATAAATTTTTTTTAAAAATTGCGTTAAGGGGGGCCTGCCCCTTAGCTCAGTTAAGTGGCTGCTTCAACAAAGCCGTCAGGCTCAGGTTGCTGTGGTTCGATCCCCACAACTCAAGCCAGCCAGTCATGCCTTGAAGGCATTCAGATCAAAAAAAAAAAAATTGCGTTAAGGATGTATAGTTCAGTGGCAGAGCCCTCTAGTACACACAGGCCTCTCAAGCTTAATCTCCAGCAACAAAGCAAACCAGACTTAAATGGGCCATCACATAAAATTCCAGAATATAGAAAGATAAACTATACACTGACTTGGTACAGTTCACATGAATTTAACTTGAAATTACACAATTTCAAATTTTACAATCTATTCAATAATCTATAAATACAGGGCCAGAGAGATAGCTCAGCAAAAGAAGCACTTGCCTGGCAAGTACAAGGTCCTGAGTTCAATCCCAGGTACCACCAAAAAAAAAAGTAATAGTAGTAATAATAATAATAATCTATAAATACAGATACACAAGCTATCTTTAAAGTTTTCACTTATTTTTCTGAATCAACCCTTTAACAAACATTTATAACCTATTAATAATATTAACAACAATGTACCAATAAGGCACCTTGTACAAGAAAAGTGTATTGGAAAGGCTGGAATTAAATGAAAAACTGTAAAATGTACTCATATCGTGATCCAATTATTAAGGTTCATCCTCATTTTATCTCTAGATTAGAAAGCTACTACTAAATGTAAAGCAAAACTAGGTTTTTCTGAAGAGATACAAAAGACAAAAGAAGCCTTCATTGACCCTAACGACACAGAGTCCAAGGAAAACGGGTGGGGTCCTCTGACCTGAGACAAAGAAAACTGAGATTGTTATGGACTTTGGCCAGGGGTGGGGTTTGAGGAGCAGTTTCAGTTACAGGAAGGAGTTGGTGCCCGTGTGTGCGTACGTGTGGGGAAGGTACCCAGCCCTGGGGTGGGGAAGGAGGAAGGAGTGATCATTGGGAAGGTAAGTTGTTTTGGGGATTCAGCCATGTCAGATGACCACCATAATAATGTGGCCAGAACTTATCAACGACTACTTCAGTAACATACTTTGTCAATGAAACTTTCACTTATTTATTCCTAAAATAACCAAATGAGATTTTAAGTACTTGGTCTTAAAATGGTACATGGATAAAATATAAAATATATCACAGCATTTATCAATTGCTATAAAGCTATTCTATTATCAAAGTTTTCCTGAGTACATAAATTATTTCACTTTTAAATAACTTTCAAGGGTCGGCCAAATAGCTCAGCAGAGCCTGGGGTTCAATCCCTGGCCTGCTGTGCCAGCCCTGCCCCCAGGGCACACTGAGAGGGCAACTGAGACTGGGCGTGGTGGTGCACACCTGTAATCCCAGGTCTTGGGAGGCTGTAAACAGGTGGATCACTATGAGTCCGATCTAGTAGTGAGACCCTGAACACCCTGTAGACCCTTCCCTAAAATACAAGAAATAAATAAATAAATAACTTTCAAAACAAGTAGGTTTTTTTTGGGGGGGGGGGGTTGGTACATATTTTCAGCATTTGCTGAGTGCTTTCTACCACTATTCACCAAATCATCCTTAGGAGGAGGGACCACAGATTCATTCTTCCAATGTGTGATGAAGCACATGCCAATCCCCTCATAGGCGGTTAGTAAGGTCCTATGGAAATGAACAATGCTGTGAACACAGCTCTTGCGCTAATGAACTCGTAGTCCACTCAAAACAAAATGCAGCTACTAAGAGCAACCGACGTGTTAGTGTTTGTCTTCACTGAGGCACACCTTCATTTCAAAAATGAAAATACCAACCAGAGGGGAGACTTAACAAAGAAAAGACAGGACAGTGTTTCTAAAGTAACTTACTTGCTGACTTCTTTATACTGGGCTATCTCCTCGATATAAAGGAGGTCGTGCAACCTTGACTGATAGTTGGTCTTGGTCAATGATTTGTCTAAAACGGACTGGGTAAAGAGCTGGTCAGCAGAGAGAGGAATCTGGTATCTGATAAGAAGGCTCTTCTCCAAATCAGTAGTTTCATTAGGCTCAAAATCTACAATAGTCTTAGAAGAAGAATCCCAGCGTTTAGCTGTGGTTACTAGCTGTTGTTTTGCATGCATCAGGTATTCAAGATCTAAAGGGAAACAAAAAACACATTTACAAAGGGACACATTAAAATTCACAAATAATGCATTACATATTTTTTCAGAGTTTTATATGCTACAGCTAAAATTCTTAAAAATAAAAAAATAATAATCTAGTGCAGAGTATTTTCCCTATATCAGAAATATTTTTTGTCTAGTTGAACAAAATAATATTAGTAGGCATCCATATAAAGAACATAAGGTTAGGACATACTATAAATACTTATTAACATTTTTAAAGTGCAGATTAAAATTGAGAACTCTTCAGTCAAGAGAAATCTGACCTGCAGGAAATTCCTTATAAGATACATTTTTAAGGTAATAACTGCTTTCCTCCTCTTCCTAGCACAGAGAGAGATTTTTAAAAAACTGTAAAAGATTAAATCGTTTCTTGTGTGGTAAAGCACAGTGAAAGTATCTGAATGTCAACTTACTACAAATAAAAAATTCCTTTAGAAGATAGACATGTGCAATAGTGCTGATTTCTCATTAAAATGTGGTACCATGCCATTTCTGAAAAAATTCAGTTCAGCCTCAGGGAAATTACACCATAAATAGGGCACAATATTAAGATGAATAACTGCTGAGGTTCTGACATCTTTTTTAAAACAGAATAGAATCAGCACGTAATAGCATTCATAAGAAGCTCAGCATGTGCCCACCCATGCTCACTCTGTAGTGCACATGTTTCCCAGCTCACTTAGGAGGCCAATATATATATTTAATATAATTCAAGATGGTTTCATAGTACATGTCAAAATTTAAGAAAGAAATAATAAATTCAAAGATCAATGAGTCTCTAGAGTATGCAAACAAGAAATCCTAAATTATCTTTAAAATAAGAATATAGGTATAGTTGTCATGTCTTTAGTGAGTCATTCTGCAAATTTTAAATGTCACCCACCAAAAGACATTTTTCAATAGTAGGAAATAACCTATCGTAGTATCTTAACAAAAAGCCAAAAATATGAAAACTCTCAATTTCTCACCTTTGCTCCTTTTAAAAGGCATTTTTACACAAGTTTATTATTTCTCAAATTGCAACATAAATACTAATGCCACCTCATAAAAATTTTACACTTGAGAAATACTCTGGTATATTAGAAGCCTATGGAATTTTGTCTTCTGAGACATGGTAAACAGAAACTAGAAATACATTAAGAGGAAGCTGTAAGAAAATATTAAAGATAGCTGGATAGATAACTCAGTGGCATAAGCGTTTGCCTGGCTAGTGCAAGGTCCTGAGTTCTATCCCCAGTACCAAATAGAAAGAAAGAAAGAAAGAAAGAAAGAAAGAAAGAAAGAAAGAAAGAAAGAAAGAGAGAGAAAGATAGATAGATAGATAGAGATAGATAGATAGATAGATAGATAGATAGATAGATAGATAGATTGATTTAAGAGAATATCTGTTTTTCAATAGCCTCATAAGTTTCCTGAGGTAAACTAGCCATATCTTCCTCCTAAATCACTCTAAAATTAAGCTCTTCCTAGTCATTCATTAGAGGATAGCTACAAAAAGTATTTAAATTATGCAAATGATAATAGTCCTAAAACAGAATATACCACCATGAAAATTAGGTGTTTGTTATCATCCTAATACAGGACAGACACAATTTTTATCCTAACTTCAAAAGTCAAAAAGGAAAACAGGAATGAGAAGCAGCAAACCAAATAACTAGCTCTTTAAAAATTAAACTATACAATGCTGATGAATCTATTTAGTATGTAGAAATTGTTTACTGTGTAGGGGTGACAAGTTATTATTTTTCATAACCAGATCTTAAATTGTACTTTATTTAAATTAGGTCAGACCAGAGATATAGCTCAGCAGCACTGCACCTGCCTGCCAGGAACAAGGTCCTGAGTTTGATTTCTGGTACCCCCTCCAATAACAAAAATTAAATCAGAATATATTTAATACTGTATTCTCACAGTTTAAAAATCGTCACTAGTTAGCCAGGCTTAGTAGCACATGCCTGGGAGGCTGAGACAAGAGGTATATAAGGTCAAGCCTACACTGGGCAGCTTAGGAAAACCCTGTGTTAAATTTTTTTTAATTTTTTTAAAGGTTGGGGTTATAGCTCTTTGGGAAGGCTGTGGATTCAAACTGCAATACCACGTCAAAAAAATAAAAGTCATTAGTTATTCCTTTTTATTTTTATTTTATTTAATGTATTTGGTACAGGGTCTCACTACACAGCTCGGACTTGTAATGATCTTCCCGTCTCAGCCATCTCAGCCTCCCCAGCGCTGGAATTACCAGGGTGCACCACCACGCCCGAGTTTTGGGTTTTGGTGGCCAGCTCAGTACGCCCAGGGGAGGGGCCGGTGTGGTATAAGGCACCAGGATGGAACCCAGGTCTCTCTGTGTGACAGGCAGGCACTTAGACTGCTGAGCTTTCTCCGCAGTCTCATTAATTGTTCTTAACTGATTATTATACAGGTGGGTCAGCAACAAACCCAAAATGGTAGAACTTTTCGAGGAAGCTTGTTGTACTACACTACCTACTGTTAGGTTTGGCTCTCATGCCCCGACCCCAGCCTCACATAGTCTGGGGCTTTTTAGGAGGTAGGTGAGTCCCGTGCTAGGGTTAGGGTGTGAGTGCTGCGCCACCCAAGGACAGGCAGCCCGCACACACAAGGTACAGAGAGGGTGGCCTCCCTTGCCCCATGCTCTGGGGCTTCTGCAGCCATGAGCTGCTGCTCTCTCCCAGGCCCACCTTGCCTTGCAGCCAGCCAATGACAGACTGAAGCCCCCCAAACTGTGAGCTAAATCAGTCTTTTCCCCTTTAACGTTGGATGTTGAGTATTTTGTCTCAGCAACCAAAAAGTAACTGAAGGCCCCTATTAAATATGCAAACCAAATTATACAGTCTTTCTACTCTCGGCCTCTAGTGTTTACTTTTAGGAAAAACTGGCACCAGAGACTGTGCATGGTGGTGCACACCTATAATCCCAGCACTTGGGAACCTGAAAACAGGAGGATCACTACAAGTCTGCGCTGTGTAGTTAAGACCCTGTAGACCTCTACTAATTTAAAAAAAAAAAAAAAAAAAAACCTTTTTAAAGGCCCATGTTTTTTTTCCTGTTTTTGGGAATTTTTTTTTTTTTTTTTTTTTTTTTTTTGGGGGGGGGGTGGAATTCTTAAAAGTGTCTTGAAGTAGCATAATAATTCACAATGTTATTTTTATGTCATTTACTTAATTTTTAAGTGACTATGACAAAAAGTCATGAATATAAAATGGTCAGTGAGCTCTAAAGAATGCTTTTACAAAATTTATACTAAAGATCACTAGGTCTTTAGAGTCTCTCTAAACATGGGAGGGAGGGAGGTAAGGTTCTCCAGTGAGGACACTGTTTCAACTGCCACTGAGGCTGGCTGTCATCCTGTCTGCAGCGCACACAGCCAGCCACCATCTAAAGCAGATCGAACCTGCTCAGGATGGCCTGCGTAGGTGCATCTTTGGCATGCACCTGTCTTCACCCTACTTCAGGCTAAAAGGAACAACACTCTGGAAAGACAAAAGCGAGCAAGTTAGGGCCAATATACCCAAAACGTGTAACAATGACTCGTGAACCAATTTCTACAGCAATAAACATGAAAGTAAACACAACAGAAATCATAAACCTATGGCATTTCTTCCCTGAGACATGGTAAACAGAAACTGGAAATGCATTTTAAAAGAAGTAAATAAGAAAAAATAAAGGTAATTCAAATATACCTAATCTTTCCAAGCTAATACAAGGAAAAGACTGCTGCTGTAAGACATAGAATTCAAGACTAGAATAACAAGTCTGACACAAGATACACTTCCCAACTTCCTTACTCTTCTGATACTGAGGAACAGCAGCTGCTCTCAGCTCAACCACAAAGTTACTTTAATACAGGGGCTTACAGAATAAAAATGAAAACTTTTTAAGGGGAAAAATACCTAATAACCTAAGTACCCAGAATTAGAGCTGACAAATAAGATGTATAGAATAAATGCATGTTAAATACAAAATTTATTTAAAAGTTAAGTGTACCTAAGACTTACAGAAAATATGATTAAATGTTTCTAATTCACAGACACCACACTGTCTTAGAAAATATCTTGACTGCCCAAAATAATGATATAAAATGTTAAAGCAATTCTAGACTACCATCCAGCTCAGTATTCTTCCTTTCCCAAAAACTGTTCGCTATAAACAGCCTGTGTCTCTTAGTTTTACAACCATGCTATCTGTTCCTATTTTGCCCCACTTTCATCTAACTTTTACTGATGAAAGTTAAACTGATAAAACTTTATTTTTATTGATAAACTTTTCTAATCTATTTTTTCCCCTGGCATGGTGGCTCATGATTATAACCCCAGTACTCAGGAGGCTGAAGCAGGAAGATCACTGTGAGTTCAAGGCCAACCTTGGCTACATAGTGAGTTCAAGGCCAATCTGAACTACATATTAAGACCTCTCAAAAAACAAAAAAAAAACAATCAGCCAATGAATCAATCAAAAATTAAAATCTATTTTTCTACTGCTTTTCTGATCACATAATATATACATATAGAAACATAACATGTCCCTAATTTACCAACAATGTTGGCAGCTAGGAATTACTTTTAAGTCATACTAAATTTTATATTAATGTTAACATGTCCTGCTAGACTCAAACAAAGAAATGTATATCAAGCTTTTAGATCTAACTATACAAATAAATTTTCAATATGTTGTCTCCAGATATTCAAACACAATTCCAAACTGGTATTTTAAAGCACAAATTTTCATTAACCAAAGTTGTGGTACAAAGTGTATAATTTAATTTGTTTTCTAAAAAGGGGCAAACTCACTAATTTCCTTCTTCTGTAGGTGCCTTTTGCCACATATTTTTGAGAGATACATCTTCAAATTTAATAAGAAAAAAAGATTTTAGTACATATTTTTCTGAATCAGAGTCTCACCAACAAAGAAAAAGTTAAAGTTATGCGTATTTGTTGAATAGTCTGTAAGATTACCATCCAACTAGGGAAAAAATAAATCCACTCATGGCCTATGAATAGAAAGCTCTATATACTTTACATATCACAACAAAACAGAAAAAGGGCAAGTTTTTTTTTTAATTTAACTCAAATGTGAATTAACTTTTTAAAATAGTATTTTTAGTTCGATACTGAACAACCAGTTGGGGAACTATAGGCTGCCTGTACCTAGATTTTGAGTTCCAAGGAGTCACACACTAATGAAATGAAGTCTGACACCTCATGGAGTTTTACTCACCATGGCACACAGTAAATCTACGAGGAAAGCTGGCAAAAGCACGCTCATACTTATTTATACACACAACTTTTTAACATAGGTGTTGCAATTAATTTCATTAGAATACGGTTTAAGAAACACTAAGCTAAAAGATGCCCCAGTATGATCCAAATATTTAACTTTGTGGGAAAAAAAAAAAAAAAAACTTCCAGAATTAACTTAGACAAAACCTTGATTAATCAATGAACTGTCAAGTGAAAGAATCAATAAAGATATTTCTCATTTAAATTAGTTTCACACTATCACTAAATTTGTGTAAAACTAAATTAGAATTTATTAGGAAAAACTGTATGGAAACAAGAAGGACCCTAGACCTAATTTAATTCTCAACTGTACCTGTCCAATCTAATCCTGGAATGACACTTTCCTGCTAATTATATACCCAAACAGTTCAATGATGAGTCAGCTGACATCAGAGGTCACATGAGGTGGGCCAGCATATTGCAATAATTTAACAGCAGAGTAATCTAGCTCAGTAGCTCCAGACGTGGTCCACACAAGTGGATACCTTCACTTAACATTTTTATGACTCACAATGTTTGATAAATTGCAATCGCACATCAATTTTTGTTCTCAAATTTTTTACTGATAAGAACTCTGCTTTGATAGTCAAAACTGACTAGTACTAACAGAAAAACAACGTACTATTTATATCTTGCTTTTATTTCTCTACAATTCTGTCAAGACTACACAGTTTTGTGTACTCACACTGAAATATGTAATCATGCAATAAAAAATATGTAAGTCAGGGCAAGATGGTACACACAGCTGTAGTTCTAGCACTTGGGAAACTGAGGCAGAAAGACCAACAGGAGTTTGGAGCCAGTTTGGGTAACATGGGGAGTTCAAGGACATACTACACTACACAGTGAGACACTGCCTCAAAAAAAAAAAAAAAAACCTTATTTTTTTTTCAACTATGTATTGTATAATAATTACTTTAAAGTCTTATTTAACAAAACTTGCTAAAATAATCAAACTACAAAGAGGTCACTAAAAACAAAGGATACCTACACATAAAAAAGGAGAAAGTTGCTATCATCTCTATTAGTTCCCTCTATCCTATCTGAATGAAATATATTTTTTAATATTCAATTTTATTTTTAAAAGAAAAATCAGAAACTAAGACAAAAATAGGGTAACATACAATACACACATTACAGATTTTCAAAACAAGGACAGCAATTAACAATGGTTGATCTATTACCTATTTTTATCATCAAATCTATTGCTCAGATTAACAGAAATAATTATGTAAGACTGGACATATCATTGCGTATTACCACTTGCTTTTTGAAGAAACTTTTAATTTTTGCTCTCCTCTTTTTTTACCTTTTTAAAAATTTATTTTAAAGAGTATATTAATAATTTTTTAATGTATTTTAGTACAGGGTCTACAGAGTCTCACTACACAGATCAGACTTGTAGTTATCTTCCTGTTTTCAGCCTCCCAAGTGCTAGGATTACAGATGCACGCCAAACACCCAGTCTCTAAAATATAAATTTTATTGTATTTACAAACTGATATGTCAGAAACATCAGGAAGGAATTATTTCTTCCAGTTATCAGACTCAAAATATTATTCCTTTCAAACAACCTCCTGCAATCCCTATGTTTACTGAATGCCTACTACAGCCGGATATGTGTGAGGCTTATTTCTAGTCAAGATCCTCTGATATTATGAGCCCAGTTAGTTTTACAGATGATTTCTCATGAAGCTTAAAGATGCTAAGTATTTTACCCAGGGTCACAGAGGTAACACAGAGAAAAACCAGGATTCAAACTCAACTCTATGTGACTAAGAATTTTATCTACTGTTCTTCCTCTCCAACTAGAAAGGTAGCACTATCTGGACAAAAGCAGCCAACCTAAGCCTCACTGCTCTCTCCCGGATAAGATGGCCTGAAACACTCCTCTTCATCAGCTTTTCTCATTACCAGCTGTTTTAGTAGTATCATTTTCTTTTCAATTTGTTTTCTGAAGACACTTAACATTTTATGTTGCTAAATAATTTTTATTAACTAGTATGAATTCTTGACATTTCTTTAGAAAAATGAGACATGAGTTACAGATCAGTCTAAAAGGCAAACTTCTAATAGCCCACATGTAAACCAAAAGTTTATTATTGTAGAACAATTACTTAAAAGTAAAGTCTTATTTAACAAAACTTGCAAAATTTATATTTGAGTAGGGAATAAATGCTGGCTTCTCTTCACGATTTAAATCTCCTTGTAAACCAGACCATGGCAGCACATGATTCTGGGAGCCTGAAGCAAGCGGATCACAATTCATACACAGCTTGGGCAACTTAGCAAGACTCTGTCTCAAAATAAAAGTAAAAAGAGAGCTGGCAATGCAGTTGAGTGCAAAGACCCTAGTACCATGTCCCTCCTCCCCGCCAAATCTTACAATTTTAAGTGTGATTTCTAGTAATGCATAGTCCTAAAGTTCTGGACACTGAAAGCAACTTCCTAATACAGAGGTGGGCAAACCACAGCATGCAAGCCAAATACAGCCCACTGTCACTTCTGAAAACAGAATTCCAGAGGCACACAGCCACACCCTTTTGTTTATACACAGCCTCTCCTCTGGCTGCTTTTTTGTGACCATGCAGAACTGAACAACTAGGACCGAGACCCACTGCCCTGTAACACCTAAAATACTTACTACCTTTACAGAAAAAACTTGCCAAATCCTATGCTTTTATTTTACTTTATCAACTCTCATATCTATTTCATGATGGAAATTAACTTACTTTGATTCCGAGAGTACTGAGTAACATATCACAAAATACGAACAGATAAAAAAGGATCAAAGTAAAAGGAACTCAAGGTAAAATGAAGTCTGGCTAACATTAACACACACACAAGAATATGTTACCTGACTGTAAAATTTGAACACAAATTTGTTTAAACCTCTCCTACCAGTCAAAAGGGAGACAAACCAACTCCATCTGTTCACCATGTCCAAACAATAAAATCACATCATTTGCTCATCAGAAGAACAACTTTCTCTAGGTTCTCATAAACGGGACACTGTGGTGTACAATGTAAATGATCTTCCACATTATGGTCAGGTATAGACGATAACAAGTTGGCTGGCTGGTTGTTCGTTTGTGGTACCAGAGATCAAACTCAGGACCCTGCACATGCCAGGCAGGTACTTATGCCACTGAGCTGTCTCCTCAACCCAATAACATGTTTTATACTGAGCTATACCATAAAATACTTAAGCGTTTGTTAAATACAGCCCCTATGAATCCAACCAAGAGCCAAAGAAACCATGGGCTAACATACCCTCTCCTTGTCCTGTTGGATCTAGGCATAAAATTTAGGTGCAGGCAAAAATAAAACAACCTACAAGATAGCAAATCCTCCTCTGTAGGATCTTACAGAAACCAGGGACCTCTTTCTAAAAACACAGAGTGGGTCCCATTCAAGGTACCTTAATCTCCTTAACAGTAGTATACAGACAAACTGACTTATGAAGACATACTGAGAACTTTTCATTCCGAAAGAATGTACTAGTAACAAAGCTAATTTGTCAGTACATGTAAATACATTGTAAGTATATATACAATATCATTAAAAACTACTTAAACTAAGACTGAAAGATTTTACTGTGCTAAAATCATCTTATTAAAAACAAATAATAACCTAGTAGACCCAAACAGACCTTTTCATCTACACAATGTGTTTAGGGGACTTGGAAGTGACATTTGCCCAATGACTAAATGAACAGATGGGGAGCAATGTGCACGTGCTAAGCCCCGCTCCACAGTAAATGAGTCAATTAATTTGGACTTTTCTCATTTCCCTCCCTATCGGGGAATATTTAGGGGCCAATACATAGGTTTTAATGTTGCCTTTTAATACAATGTATCAGGGAAAAAAGTCTAAATATTACCTTCTGTAGAAGCTGCATCAATCATTACTCTTTGCATGAGTACTGGTTCCAATCCAAAGTCGAAAACTATAGTTTGGCGAAAAGTTCCAAATATTTCTGTGTTAAATGCTATCCCGACTTTATACACGTAATGATCTAATCCATTTTGGGCCATCTTTCCTCCTATCCATTCTTGACAGTTTTCTGGGACTTCTTGTGATACCTGGGTAGTACTATCTCCGGCAGATATTGCAATGATACTAAAATGAGGACGATGAGCGTCATAAAGCAATGCTACCCGATACAGCATTCTTGCAGGCTACAAGGAAGTTAAAATAATTTATTGAGTACAAGGGGGTGAAAAATCCAATTGTAATTGGGCTCTTCTATGAAAATATTTCCATAATGGATTGTTAGTTTCTCATGCTTCTAAGATTATGTTCTAAATATAAATTGTGTGCATATGCTATTTAAAAACACACACGCACGCACATGCACACGCACACATACACACACAAATGATTAAAAAAAAAACCCAGCTGTTAAAATGATGTGCTATGCGATAGCACTAGCCTCCCTGCTCCAGCGATGCGTGTGCTTCTCACTGTGGCAAACTCTACCAACCTGACCACTCTCAACATCTAGCTCTCCACACCCTTGGCCTCAAAGAGGAAGTCTTCAGAGGAGAGTTGCCTTTAAAAGCACTGGACTGGGTTCAGGACTGAGGCTTAACACTCCTAGATTTTTCATCTCAAAATACAGAAGGTACAGTGGAAAAAACAGCTTAACACTTTTCCACTGAACACAGCCACTAAAAGTTTTACTTTATTCAGCCTTAAATTTTGACTACTGCAATTTAAAATGACAGCACTTAATATGAGGAAATTATCATATTAAGCTGTTACTACAGAATTTGTGATCTCATGAAATCAAATTTAAAAACAAGTTGTAATGTTTAAGTATCTTAGAACTGCCAGATTAAGCAATTCAACTTTTAAATTTTAATTGTAAGCCATGAACCCCATCCTATGTTCCTTGGAAGACAATATGTCAGAAATGTCTTCATCAAATAAATAAGTAAACAACTGCAAAAGACCATCTACAAAGATCTTAGCTCAAAATAAAAAATATATATATTGTACTTTCAATAACTGAAATACAAGAATCCACTGTAGTACAATATAGAAGCTACAGATGATGTACTTAGATCAAAACATTTTTATTCCTCTCACCACAATATAAAAGTCCAAAAAACCTTTGGGAAATGGAAAAGAATTAATACTCTTTAATTAGCATAAAATTCATACCTTACAAGTCAGAGCAAAAGTCCATATCTGATGAGATTTTTTGGTGTTGACAGTAACAGACAAGTCAGGATTATGTTCTACCTTTACACCTTCTATACATTCACTAAGCTGGAAACAAAGAACAAATAATGTTATGATTTTGTCACAAAAAGCACAAATAAAAGCTTTTAACATGGTAAATGTTACCAGTAAAGATACCAACAGGCTGTTTGCCACAATATTTTATATATTTATTCTCAGCTAGTTTAACAAGAAAATAAAGCTAAAAGAAGAAACAAAAGAAAACACCAACCCAAAAATGGCAATCAAAACTTGCCTGAAAGAAGATAATTAACACAACACCTACAAATCTCCCAATAAGGAGTTTAGCTCTGGACTTAATTTTCAAGTGTGCCTACTTTTGCTAATACATTACTTTATAAACTTCATATATTAATAAAGGAAATAAACCACAACACTGCATAGCACATGAAAAAGTCAAAATTCAAACAGGTTCACTGTTTCAAACAACAAAAAAAGTAGTTTATTTTCCTCACCACTTTCTCAGGAGATAATGAATTCATCCATTTTTCTATCAAGGTTTCCATGTAACTGCCTGCGAGCTGTTTATTCTCACTCTGCTGCTTCAACCTTATCAACCGGGAGGCGTATCTTTTCTGCCATTCTGCCAGTTCTTCCCGGGAATGTGCGGAAGTGCACTGAGCACCATACCTACAGACTCCTTGCTCTAAGAATCTAAGTGGAACAGGAAAGACTGTTTTATCATATATTTTGCTTAATCATTTCAAGACAGACTTTCAGCATTCGTGTTCTACCTCCTCAGTAACAACTACAATGCCACATTTGTCATACTGTCTTAATGACAAAGATATAGTTTAGAGACCTGAAAATACTCATAACAATCAAAATGTCAACCCTTATATTCAAATGACTTGTTTCTCTGGGATTCTAATGGCACCCTAATACATAACATATTTATGATCCCTCTCCCCTCAAAAGACAGAAGTTGCTTCCTTTGGGATATAAGTATTCTATTACGTAATTCCTTTTAGAACATTTTTTGGTAAAGCAACACTGACATCAAGTGGATTAGTTGCTCACACACAGTTATGCCCCACTTCCCAAATGACATGACTTAAGGAAAACCTCTGACACATTAGGAATGTCATTCCAAATAAAAATGTTACTAAATTATCACTTTAAGGTTCCTACTTCTCACTCTTAAGGTTTCTACTTCTACTAATGCTTTTACTCTTTCCTACATTATTATTTATATTCCACTGAAACTACTGAGCAATATAAAATGCAAATACATTTAGAATAAGGATTTTATATTACAGAGCCACAAATTTATTCAGCAGTCATATTCAATTTTTCAAGGGAAAAATTCATAAATGTCATTTTAAAGGATAAAAATTTCTCAATGTTTGTGACTCAAAATACTAGTTACTATAATTAACACTAATGTAATGTACATTTTATTGTGTTTTTTGTTTTTGGTGGAACTGAGGATTGAACTCAGACCCTTGCGTTTGCCAGGGACGCGCTTATTCTACTGAGCCATCTCCCTGGCCCTGTAATGTATATTTCAAAAAGCCAGAAAAGGTTTTATTCTCACCACAAAGAAAATTTTTCAGTGACGGATATGCTAATTATACTGATTTGATTACTATACAATGGATGCAAATTTCAATATATCATACTATATGCCACGAATAAGCATACTGATGTAACAAACATAATTTTTTTTTAAAATTTGTACCATCTATAATGATTATATTAAAATAGATATTTTTAGAAAATTTATTAAAATAATTTGATAGGCCTATATTCTTTATGTTCTAGTTTATATAATTTGGGGCTAAAAGCAGATTTTTCTAAAGCCTTTGATCACTAATTTAAAAAAAAAAAAATTCTAATCAGCCAGGCATGATAGTGTATGCCTATAATCTCAGCACTCAGAGGCTGAGGAAGGAGGATTACTATATTGCGACTTCAAGAGCAGCCTGGGCTACAAAGTGAGCTCCAGGCCAGCCTGAACTGCATAGCCAGACCTTATCTCAAAAAGGAAAAAAACAAAAAAACAAAAAACAAATGTGTGTGTGTGTGTGTGTGTGTGTGTGTGTGTGTGTGTGTGCATGTGTGTGTTTTCTTTTAAATGCCCTACAAAATTATGGTTAGGCCAGTTTTAAATCAATGAAAACATTCCAAAATTGCTAGATCTTCCGAGAGAAAAGACAAAAAATATAAAAAGCAAAAGAGACAGGAGAGATGTCATAGACAAATTTCAACTGGAAAAAATGTGGCTAATAAGGATTACAAAATGAACCACAGACATTGGAAACGGTCAAATGGCTCACCACACTGAAAAGCTGAGAGTACCCAAAGCTGCTCCTCACGGTACAAATGGAGCACTTAAGCTTAAAATAAGGCTATCTGTTCAATTCTCTCAGGTTTCAGAAGACACCAAAAAGCATGCATTCATGTGACATTTAAGTATGGTGTCTTCAGGGACCAAATTGTCTTTCTGTATTTTGCTGCAAGTTACTTGACTGAAAAATTTTTATCTGACTATTCTCATCTGACTATAAATTTTCTCAGATTTGTTTTTCATAGGATTGTGTTCTGTCCTACAACATGAAGGATTTTTAATATTTAATACTTAGTTTCATTATCTCTACTATAAAATCAACTCTGATGTCTTCATGACTTAATCATCAAAAAAATCAAATATCAAATTTGCTTTTACTATAAAAAGCAATCTAGTTTGAGTTTTCATCTAAAATCTCACTAGTTACTAAGTCTTATAAAAAGATGAGCTCATTTTTTAAAATGTGAATTGGTAATCCTTCCACATTAATATATAATTATTAAAATTTGAAAGGTCAGCCCTTCAAATATAAGTTCCTCATAAATTCTATAAGGATTACATGAAGATAGGTATTTTTAGTAAAGTTATTGAAATAATAAGCCCATCTGATGCTCTACTTCAGTTTATATAATTTCAACTTCTATCAACATACCTAAGGTAACATTAACAAAAGACCAGCAATTAAGTTCATCCACAATAGCCCAACTGGTAATATAAAAAACTTATGAACACAGCCTTAAAGATTTATGTTTTAAAAAAAAAAAAAAAAGACTTGAGTTTAGATTACTATTGTAATTAAAAGGCTCATGGATACAATTTTGACTTTTATTACTTAATAACAATGAGCTTTATGGCTTCTGTTTCAAATGGAAATTATTTTATTCCATATCATTATACTTCTCTTCCTTCACATATTATCTTTTTTCCAAAATGTGAAGGAAAATTATCCTTTCAACAAAGACACGTAATTGGTTTAAAAAGAAAATTCACATTACCTTTTACACAAAGTATATTCCTCGCTGCTTGTGATTCCCCTAGGTGGTGGGCGGAAATGCCAACCATTACAAGACCCTAGGGAGTAATCAGGATATAGTCTTATCATTTGAGGCTACCTAGTAGTGCTGATATTTTTATGTGTAAGAAATATTATAATACCTCCTCATACATCATCCCAGATGATGTAAAAATATCTGCCTCTAAGGAAAAAAAAAAAAAAAAATCTACCAATCAATGAGTTAAAATACATCAGCTATGGAAAGTGCAGAAATTACCGCAGAAGCAGCTACCCCACAGTTAAGTTGGCCCTGATTCCGGTCTAGCAACTGGTGGGCCTCTCCAGTATAGTCTCTTCCTGAGAACTCTGGAGGGAGGTGGCATGCTTGTCGTTTCTAAAGCATGGACTATCTCTACCAGGAATTCCTTCAGGAATGGAAAAGCGACTGTATCCTGGAAGGAAATCTTATATAACAAATCCCACCTTGGCATACCTAGCGAGCAGCAGCTCCACACTGTCATCCACATTCCTTACAATCCTGTCACAATACAATGTAATCCTTTGTTACAAGTGAAATAAAAGTTCAACCAGGTGAATTCTGACATAAGAGCTTATGAAACAGCTTTAATTGCTTTTGAATACAGTGAGATTTTTATTTGTTTAGATGTGACTCCAAATAAGCCAAAGAAAATAAAGGCTTAAAAAAGGAAAGGCTAGGACTAAGAGACTGAAGAGGCATTTTATATGACTCCTTGCAAGTCACTGTGTCCTACCCCCTAGAAAAGAAAAGCCATTTTTCCTAGTCAAGTTTAAAAGTATGTTTCATCCTTTACTAGCTGGGTGACTTCGTGGAAATTATTAGCCCTCAATATACAATTCATCACTTATCAAGAGATGGAGGCGTGCCGTACTGGCCCTGCCCTGCGGAACAGGCTGAGAGAGTGACTGAGACTGGGCGAGGCGGCTCGCACCTGTAATCCCAGTGCCTGGGAGGCTGAAAACAGGAAAATCACTACGAGTCCAATCTACATAGTAAGACCCTGTAAACCTTGTACTAAATACACAAAAAGTAAAAAATAAATTTAAAAGAGAGATGGAGAAGGTCCCTAAGAAGTCTGTCAAGGTTTTGGGAAAGTCATGACTGTAATACACAGCTTGTGACAGGCCCTTGATAACTTCTCCCTTTCCTCTAGCAGATCAGAAAGAATTCAGCTTTGGATTGGCTATAATAGCCTGGGGTCAGGTGAGATGCTCCCTTTCCAGACTGCTAAGAATACTCTTTAAATTTAGTCCTACATGGAGGCAAAACAATGACTACGTGACCTCTAGAGTTTATCTCCTACCTCTATTACTCTGCTATTATATGAAAAGCTGCTAGGGAAAAATTGCTTTCACCACCCCTACTTCCTAAAATTCAACTTTTTATATTCTCTCCTGTATCTCAACCTTAATTACATGTACTATAATTAAGTAAATTTCCTCCCACTAATTAATAAAAACCAAAGCTCAGAATCACAGCTATGATAAGTTAAGAAAATTCTGCACTTACCCTCTTCTAGGTCTTCCACATTATATCCAGAGAGGACGTTACTAGTGGCTGTCTGCAATTTTTCAAATGAAAGACATATACAAAATAACCATTTAGTAATGAATTAAATTTGGATATTTTAAAACTTAAAGCAAAAAGTAAAGTTGGAATACTTAGAAATATTTGGGAAAAAAATGTTTAATAACTTCTTTAGTTTTTTTGAGACAGGGTCTTACTATGTAATTCAGGCTAGACTTGAACTTACTATGTAGCTTACGCTGGCACTGAACTCATGGCAATCCTGCCTCAATCCTCCAATAGTGAAGTATTTCATAATTTTAATATGCTACAAGAGATATGGTTTTATTCTGTTCTATGTTAATGCTATAATTTAAATGGAAAAAAAAAAGCACTTGTCAGGAACTCTAAAAAAAAAACTGATAAGAAAACAAAACTGATATATACTCCTCGAACAAGAATCAGCTAATAGCAAATCAGAAAATTTAAGTTTTGAAACCCATAAGGATAGTAGTACCTTCCATCGATTTGTTCATTCATTTTCCTTTAATATCTACAGAATGACCAACTTAAAGAGGTGCCTTAAATAAATAAATAAATAAATAAATAAATAAAAATAAAGAGGTGCCTTTTTTCCTGCACTTAAGGCTTGCTACCACTTTGTGGCCTGAAGCACTTCCTGCCAAACCCCACTACAGTCTAGTTTCAACCCTTGGTCCACAATAAAAAAAGGATATGGAACTGCTCACTCTAACTTCCCTGGACAAACATCTACTCTGTGCTTTTGGCACTGGCTGACCCAAAGCTAGTGATGGCAAACCTTTCAAGAGATCAAATGCCCAAACTATAGCCCAAAATCTATTTATCTCAAAGTGTCAGCACTGCAATTAAACTTAAAGGTTTTAGTTTAGAAAAAACAACTCGCACATTAACATCTTTTGTCTTAAGAACAATACACATGTCATAGATTCACCAACACTGCCCTAAGCTTTCCACCTCCAATTGCTACCAGGGGCCAACCATGGCATTTTTTCCTTACTATGCTGTAGCATTTTACATGCTGGATCTTTGCTGGTTATGAACAGATTTGCTGTCAACAGTATTTAACTACCTTTCTGCAATCCCCCTCAAAGACTCTGTGGCATATGGTGAAAGAATAGTAAATGGTGGACTGTTGGGTGGAACAATGGACAGACAGAGGGAGGATGGATGGATGGATGGATGGACGGATGGATAGACGATTACTGAAGCACTTTAAATATACTATGTCCAAAACATTCACAGACCTTGCCCTAAACCCCAACTTCTTCTAGTGCTCTTAATCTCAAGTTAAAGATGGCCTGGCTAAAATTTTAAATGCCATCTTCAATTCTTGCATCTTCTATCCTGAGTATTCTCCAAATCTTACCCAATCAGATTTTTTTTTTTTTTTTTTTTTTTTTTTTTAATTTTAGGGAAGGATCTATCTACAAGGTGTTCTGGGTCTCACTACTAGATCAGACTTGTACTTGTAGTGATCCGCCTGCTTACAGCCTCCCAAGAGCTGGGATTACAGGCCCATGCCATCACACCCAGTCTCAACTGCCTTCTCAGCAGGCCCCAGAGGCAGGGCCGGCATGGCAGGCCCGGGGATTGAACCCCCGGCCCCTGCACCTGCTTTCAGGCACTTTAATCTGTTGAGCTATTTGGCCAGCCCTACAACCAGATCTCAATTATCTCAGTCCCTACTCCAGCTGCCACTACCCTACTTGTCTCATCTACCCTGGAACAATCTATCCTGTGCCATCACTACTCTGTATCAATCACCTGAGTCTTTACTTAGTCATCCCTTGCTTTAAACTCATGTCCTACATCCCTGCCTTGGTGATCCCCTTTCAGAGTTAATCCTCCTTCTCCCTGCTTGCATCACCATGACTGCACTTACTGACCACAGCCTGCCTGGAATGTGCATTAGCCACATATATCCTGAATGACCCACCAAATTGCTTTCCTTACAGATCTGGAGCCCTGAACAGCACAAGTATTCAGTAAATTTTAAGCTAAATCAGAAGAATGAAACAATATCCTAAAATGAAATTTGAAAATGTCTTGTACCACAGAAAGAATATCATAAATGTTAACTAGGCATATCTGAAAAATTACCATCATCATTTATTTGATGTTCATCAATGAACATGTTAACTAGGATTGAAACTAAAATATTGTTTCTACAGAAAACTACTTTCTGATTCTCTATTAAGTCACCTACTAACAAGCTTATAAAAAATAATCCACTTTTTGTAAAATGAAGGACTGAGAATAAAAATACATAAATTAACAAATAAAACAGGAGTAACTGCTCCTACTACCAATATTCTATGTTTCATAAAAAGATTCATCAGAAGATCTCTTTTAAAGGGTGGGCATGGTGCACATAGCTCTAATAGCACCACTCTGGGAGGCTGAAGGTCGCAAGTGTGTGCTCAGCCTGGGCAACTTAGTAAGACCTTGTCTTTCAAAAACAAAAGGAAAGTGAATGAACAAATGGATGTAGCTCACAAGACAGCTCATGCAAAGGCCCAGGGTTCACTCTCTGGTACTGCCTCAAAAAACAAGAAAAAAAGATCTCTTTGAAGTTTACGTGCAAGGCCTACATGCCATATCCCACAATAACCCTTAAGATATGACTCTATTTTACATAAGACATATAAATGTAACAGCTAAACATTTACTTTATGTATGAAAATTTTAAAGTAACTCTTCCTCAAAACTTATCAAGGGACAGCAAGACAGCAAGCTTAGGCAATCGCAGGGACCACAGTTCGATCCCCAGCACCACATGCTGCGCCAGCCCCACCCCCAGGGTGGGCTGAGCCAGCCACAAAAAAAAAAATAAAAATAAATCAAAATAAATTTACTAAATATACAAGAAAAAAATAAAAATAAATAAATATGCAAGAAAAGGAATGGAAATAAATTGTCTTGGCCATGAAAATCTAAAGCATTTGTAACTGCTGAAACACATTCTTCACACTGTGCCCTTTAAACACAGTACGTCCAAAAACACCATCCACTGACCTTGTGTTTCACAATCTGAGACTGTCCACACAGCCCATTCTGTCCTGACACCACAGATCTTCCACTGCACACTGGGTAAGGGCCACATTATCAGAAGAACTGATAAAGAGGTCAGCCTGGCTGACTACTGGCACCCTGGGGGCTGTGTTTGAGTTTAGTTGTTGTTATTGCCGTTTTAAGAGTTTTATTATTGTTTTTGCAGTACTGAGGATATATAACACAGAGCCTCGAGCAAACCAGGCCAGCACTCTACCCCTCTGCTACATTCCCAGCCCTTTTCTAATACTTACTTTGAGAAAGGGCCACAACTAAATTGCCCAGATGGGCCTTTAACTTAAATCCTCCCACCTCAACTCCCCCAAGTAGCTGGGATTACCACCACACCCAGCTGTATGTTTACTTTTTTAAACACTTTCTCTGTGTGCTCAAGCCTCAGACAGAAGGGCAACACTGATTAGGTTATGCTCTTCAGTTGTTACTGACTCCTTCAGGAAAGTCAATTATACTGCTAGATCTCCTGTAAATGGAAAACTAATCTACAATTACACTGGTTTTTTTAATGAATCAGCCTTTAGTTCCAAGTCTTTTATCTGTATTTACAAGTTAAATACCAGTTCAGCCCAATCTTTAAATAACAAATTGCTACTTTTAAATGTGTCATGCACAATAACTAAATAAAGGTAACATTATTCTTAAGCTTTTTCTAGATAGATCTTTTTTGTAGGCAGTGCTGAAGAACATCTTCACACATACAGGGAAGCGCTCTACCACTACGCTACATCACCAGCCTGGAGTTTTCAAAAATACCATCAACTGTCTAACCCAAAAGAATAGTAGTCTGCTTATATGGTACTTAGCTTACACAGAAACTAAAACAAGTCATTTCTTCTAATGGTATAATCACAAAATAGTTATGATATTTGTGTCCTTACATGTAACAAGATTATATGGTCTATACTTTTTTTTTTTTTTTGCAGAACTGGGGATTGAACTCAGGCCCCTGCACTTGCCAGGGAAGCGCTTATTCCACTGAGCCATCTCCCCGGCCCTATAACAAGATTATAATTTTTAAAAATTTTGTATATTTGCCTATTATCAGATATAAACCTGGCAATTCAGTTGAGGCAATAAAAAAGCAAATCTAAAAATCTTGATAAGATCAAAGGTCATTTGTGTTCTCAATGTCCCAAACATTTATAAATATCTTGTTACTTCTTAGAAATTAAAAAGGCTATAGATATACAATACAGAAAATGGCTATGAGGTAATTAGAGCTTACAAATTCTTAGATAATTCATATTAAAGTAACATAAGGCGGCCGGGGAGATAGCTCAGTAGAATAAGCACTTGCCTGGCAAGCACAAGAGCCCACGTTCAATCCCCGGTTCCGCAAAAAAAAAAAAAAAAATCATAAGGCAAAGAAAATGAAAACAGTATCTTTATCCGGCGTCTGCAATCCATAACCATCTTCTCTGCTGACTCCTGGCATGAGCTAGAGTAAGCTACTAGACCTGAAGTGGGATGTAATTCACACGTGCAGCAATAGGGTACCCACGTCTCTTCGAATCCCTCTCCTGGACTGCAGCGCTGTGCCTTGCCCTCAGAGAGACCAGGCCCTAGTCACTCTCCACTCTTGGCCAGTTGTCTAGGAGCCTGGCTACCCAATCACCCAAGTCAGTGACTTTTCAGCAGCAAAACTTGCTCTTTACTTAATGTGAATGGCCTGTCATGGTTTAATTAATGGACCTGCCTCCTCCTGGGCCTCTACTCTTTTGGCTGACAAGAACCACAGGTGCCCATCCTGCTCAGTGCTATGTCTCCGGTACAATGCCCACCACAGTTAGGTGAGCAGGTCTGAAGACAACGGGTTAACGTGTACACTAATCACTATGTATACGGATTGCCACTTATGATAAAAGCTGACGAAGTGGCTATTTTAAAAACATGACATCTAAACAAAAATACATTAAATGCCCAGATGAGGAACACATACAACGTGGAAGAGAGGCATCTCCTCGTGCCACTTCTGCCCATGCCCTCTACCATCCATGTGTACTCTTAAATCCTCCACTGGAGCACCACTACCTTTATACACACATATGTCATTTCTATCTGTTAAACCTACTCTCTAAAAATAATCCTCGGGGCCAGGAAGATGGCTCAGTGGAATAAGCGCTTCCTTGGCAAGTGCAAGGGCCTGAGTTCAATCCCCGGTTCCACCAAAAAAAAAAAAACCCATAAAAATAACCCTCTTTTTTGAGACAAGGTCTCACTATGCAGTTTAGGATTGCTTTGAACTCACTAGGTAGTGCAGGCTGGCCTCAAACTCACAGCAATCCTTCTGCCTCAGCCTCCTGAGCACCACAATTACAGAAGTGCACCACCATGCTTGGCTAAAAATAATCCATTCAGTCATAGACTTCCTTTTGTTTAAAAAACTACAGAAGACTTGAGAGAAATATCTTTATATTTGTTTGGGTTTTTAGTACTGCATCTTTAATGATAAAATTTTCTGGGGCCAGGAAGATGGCTCAGTGGAATAAGCACTTCCCTGGCAAGCGCAAGGACCTGGGTTCAATCCCTGGTTCCGTCAAAAAAAAAAAAAAAAGAATTTTCTACCAGCCTAAAGTAGCTAAAAACTAAAATTTTCCAATCATCATTTCCACTGTGGGGCCAAAGACAACTAAACAATAAGTAACAGAACAGAAGCCCTTGGGTGCTGGTGAGACCATGAGAAGCAATGTCCCAAGGACGAGACAGACCAGGTTCCGGGGCAGAGGGGTCACCCCACACCCCATGCAACCCTGCCTTCGGGCCGCTGCCAGTGACCTTCCACACCTTAACCCAAAATGCTCCCCAGCCCAACTGAGTTCTGCTTTTCCAGGGAGTCCTGAAACAGACTTACCTCTGTTTCTATGAGAAGTGTTTTCAGCCTTGTCAAATCTTTTGTTACCATTCCATTCTGAAAGGGTAACAGAGAAAAATCAATACAACAATTAGCTCAATCCCTTAGTTGTTTCTAAAGTTTATCTGTTAAAAAAAAAACCAGAATGGTCACCCTCACCCTTCATCCCTACTACCATCAACACTGGCAATACAGCCAAGTAGCTATAAGGAAAACCTTAACCTTGTTCCTTATCTGGTGCAAAAAAACTGTTCATCTCATGTAAAAATTTAAAGTTAATGAAATAAAATATTTACAACAATTATCACTAGCACAGAATACAAGCAAAGAGGAAAAAATAAACCTGTAACTTGCTTTATACCCATTTTCTGTAGGACTACTGGGCCTACACATACAAAATGGTGAACTCAAAAGTTAGCCAAGACTTACAGCAATTCACATAAATGATTGTACTACTTTAAAGACAGTTTAATTTATAAAGTCATTCAAAAAATATTCACTTTTCTGCAATTCAAGTTTCACTTGAGATTTCTGAAAAAATTACTTTTTACTACATGTTGTGTTTGTTTTCTGTGGTACTAAGGATTAAACTCAAGCACTTAGATCTTTTACTAGCTTTAAATATAAATACTCAACAGGTAAAACTGTAAATGTTCAACTTTATAGAGAAAAGCCTTTTAAGGACATTATTTTAATCATAAAGAGGTTGGGTGTGACACATGCTTATAATTACAGCTATTCAGGAGGCTGCAGCAGGAAGATCTCAAATTCAAGGTCAGCCTGGGCAATTTAATAATAAGATCCTCTTACAAAGTAAAATAAAAAGGACTGGGGATATCCATCAGCACTCCTTGGGATCAGTCTCCGAAATCCCTACCACACAAGAGGGAAGGAAGGCAGAGAAGGATGGCAATACATTCTTAACCACCTACTTTAGAACTAAACAGCTATATAAATTTTTCTATATCCACATCTGTGAACCTGATGAAATCAAAACAGTATCAAACTAAAAGAAAAACTTGTTGGAGCCAGGGAGATGGCTCAGTAGAATAAGCACTTGCCTGGCAAGCGCAAGGGCCTGAGTTCAATACTTTGTTCCACTAAAAAAAAAAAAAAAACTTGTTATATAGTAATGCCTTGGAAAATTGCTGTATTACCCTGAGATGGTCAATACACTACATTCCTAATTTCCACCAACACTTCCCTAATTTCTATTTTTTTACCAAACACATTCTTTTGTAATAAAAATTCAACTATGCTGTGGACTTTCAAGATGTATCTAAATTCAAAAGAATATGGCTCAGAGAATTCACACTGCATAGCGAAGCACACGTATATTGTATTGTTTGTTTTTCATTGATTCCTGAAAAATATTAACAAGTCCTCTAAGAGTTACCAAGTGGTGAAAGGAATTATATAGTTCTTTTCTTCTAATTTCTAGATTACCAATTCTAAAGTCCCGAAAAACATCTGGCAATTATCTCAACCTAAAAGAAAACTAAATGTTATATTAAAAAATTATCCTAAAGTCTACATAACTAAATCATTCCATCAGAATGCGTATAGGTAATATATTAATAATATGCATACCATCTTCAGAAACATTATTACTTAAGACAAGAAATTCTATGAATAAGTTTAAGAATCCTAAAATCAGAGTGCAGCCAACAGGGTTCAATCCCTGCCTTGCCATGCTGGCCCCACCCCCAGGACAAGTTGAGACAGTGATGAGACTGGGCGTGGTGAGGAGCGCCTATAATCCTAGTGCTTGGGAGGGTGAAAATGGGAGAACCACTAGAGTCTGATCTACATAGTACCAAATACATAAAAAAATTTAAAAAATAAAAAATAAACCTGAGGTATAATTTATATATATATATATATATATATATATATATATATAGGCCAAAGACAACTAAACAATAAGTAACAGAACAGAAGCCCTTGGGTGCTGGTGAGACCATGAGAAGCAATGTCCCAAGGACGAGACAGACCAGGTTCCGGGGCAGAGGGGTCACCCCACACCCCATGCAACCCTGCCTTCGGGCCGCTGCCAGTGACCTTCCACACCTTAACCCAAAATGCTCCCCAGCCCAACTGAGTTCTGCTTTTCCAGGGAGTCCTGAAACAGACTTACCTCTGTTTCTATGAGAAGTGTTTTCAGCCTTGTCAAATCTTTTGTTACCATTCCATTCTGAAAGGGTAACAGAGAAAAATCAATACAACAATTAGCTCAATCCCTTAGTTGTTTCTAAAGTTTATCTGTTAAAAAAAAAACCAGAATGGTCACCCTCACCCTTCATCCCTACTACCATCAACACTGGCAATACAGCCAAGTAGCTATAAGGAAAACCTTAACCTTGTTCCTTATCTGGTGCAAAAAAACTGTTCATCTCATGTAAAAATTTAAAGTTAATGAAATAAAATATTTACAACAATTATCACTAGCACAGAATACAAGCAAAGAGGAAAAAATAAACCTGTAACTTGCTTTATACCCATTTTCTGTAGGACTACTGGGCCTACACATACAAAATGGTGAACTCAAAAGTTAGCCAAGACTTACAGCAATTCACATAAATGATTGTACTACTTTAAAGACAGTTTAATTTATAAAGTCATTCAAAAAATATTCACTTTTCTGCAATTCAAGTTTCACTTGAGATTTCTGAAAAAATTACTTTTTACTACATGTTGTGTTTGTTTTCTGTGGTACTAAGGATTAAACTCAAGCACTTAGATCTTTTACTAGCTTTAAATATAAATACTCAACAGGTAAAACTGTAAATGTTCAACTTTATAGAGAAAAGCCTTTTAAGGACATTATTTTAATCATAAAGAGGTTGGGTGTGACACATGCTTATAATTACAGCTATTCAGGAGGCTGCAGCAGGAAGATCTCAAATTCAAGGTCAGCCTGGGCAATTTAATAATAAGATCCTCTTACAAAGTAAAATAAAAAGGACTGGGGATATCCATCAGCACTCCTTGGGATCAGTCTCCAAAATCCCTACCACACAAGAGGGAAGGAAGG